CCATTCTCTCACTAGAAGGGAAAACCTATAATGGCAGCAGGCCGTAAGAGAGACCCAGTTTGGGAATAAGAACCGTTCAAGAAATATATGTTTGCTGATGATGTTTTAAAGAAAGTCACACCAGTGAACTGGTGGAAATCACTTAAGCACTTGGATTCAGAGACTGTTGAAGTGATAATCTCACTTTTAACAGCAGTAGCTTCTTCTGCTGGTGTAGAAAGAATATTTTCTTCTTTTGGACTAATTCATTCCAAATTGAGAAATCGTTTGAGACCTGAAAAAGCAGGAAAGCTTGTTTTTCTTTTCCAGATTATGAACAAACAGGAAAATTAAGGTGAAGACGACTGAGTTTACTGCATAAGCCAATATTTTATGTTTCTCATGTTGACCTTACTGACATAGTCGATTTTAATTTTTTTGTTGTTTTTTTTAAATATTTATCTATTTTAGTTAAAAATAATTTTAACAAAAACAAACCTGATTTTAAAAAACTTGAATGTTTAACTAAATTCAAAAATTCATATGCTTGTTTTGTAAAAATATGTTTGCTGTTGAAGAAAAAAATCCAGAATACATAAAGTTGTTTTAGTTCAATAAAACAATTTAAATGTCTGTCTGGTGATGTTCTCCTCCTAATACAGCATGGCAAGAATCCATCATACAAAAAGCAGAGGAATTTAAAGTATAAGGTGAACATTTCCTAACAGATTTTTAGCCATATGAACTTACCTTTTGTTGTTATCCAGAGTGCCACTGTCATACATAGCACCAGTTTAACTAGCTCTGAGCACACATTCACAGTTGCAGGAAGGTAATCGTATTTGTTATCTGTGAAATTCAGCAAAATTATTATAGCAAATAAACATTCTTACTCATCCAACTTTTCCAATCACATTTAGAGCAACAGAAAGAGCACAACAATTCCATGATAATCGCTTAAACACATCCATTAAAAAGTTTTGGCCAGGTTCCATAAACAACGCACACTTTGTAAGTTAAGGTTATGTTCATGATTTTAATTATAAATAATCCATATTTTCAATGGCACACAACTTCTTGAACATTTCACTTTCCAGGCTGAAGTTTTCCATGCTTAGTTTCAAGCTCATAAGTTTGAATTCTTCAGTAAAGGTTGAGTACAATTAGTTCAGCCATTATAGAGTGCTACTGAAAGATGAAAAATCATACTTTCCCAATTTAATTAAATTTGAGTCTTTTTTTTTTTTGCTCACACAAAACAAAACTGACAATTTTACAAGTTTGAGGTTGTTAAGTTGGCTAACCCTTCTTCAAGGATTAGGCCCTTTCATTGTTATCCAGATAAGTATTTAAAATCTGTTTCACACATATTCTATCAGTTTTTGCTAAAATTGGCAGCCACAATACTATATAGTAACAAAAGGCCTGATCATGAAAGACTGACTTCTGTGGGAGTTGAGGGCATAGCACCTTCCAATATCAGGCACATCTAGGGCTAAATAAAAGGTTTTCAGCATAGAAAAAAACTCTCTTTGCTGACAGATTCCAATGCACAATAACAACAACAACAACTAAGTCTTATATCACTCTTGTCATCAGTAGATCTGAAAGTGCTTTAAATGAAAGAGGTGCCATACCCCCATTTTACAGATGGGGAAACAGAAGCACAGACTTGCCCAAGGTAACCCAGCAGATCAGTGGCAGAATGAGGAATAGAATCCAGGTCTCCTGAGTCCAGTGCTCTATCCACTAGATCAGGGGTTCTCATAACAATTTTTTTTGGTGGCCTCAGAGTGTGGCCACCAGCAAGAGCTGGTGAAAATTTTTCCTAAAATACTTAATTAACTTTAGGAAAAACAAATAAATATGCAAAGGTACATGTCCAAATCATTGCAATCTATCTATGTGGGGTGTTTTCTTTTTATAGACTCAATAATAAAAATAGTGTACAGTTGTTTCTATTCTTTTTGGACCTAAACAGAATAGAAACACAAATAAGGTGTTTTGAACGTTCTTGTCATTTTTCTTATTGTTTCTGTTGCTTTTTTTGGTTGCCTTTTTTTTTTTAGACTTGCTAGCTACTAAGTGTGCTGTGAAAAGTGATATTAACAAACATACAATATCACTTTTCACAGCACACTTAGTAGCTAGC